TCAAAATGACTGTTGGCAAATCAAGTGAAAACATCCACGCAGGGGAGGGAGGCCGGAGTCAGACACCATGGGAGCAGCCCTGGCTGGAGGACTGACGGGGCCCAGCCCAGAGCCTGGCAGAGCTGGGGGGAGCCCCGGGGAAGAACGTGACCAACAGGGGAAAGGCTGCTGGCCAAAGTCAGGGGGGTGGACTGAATGGCTAGGCAGAGAGAAGCCCGGAGGGGGCACGAGCCGGGCAGGAAGGAAGGAGGAATGTGAGCGGGGAGAAGGGTGGCCGAGGACAGCAGCCTGCACTGGGGCTGACGACCGGAGGTGTGGGCAAGTGAGGAAATGAGAACAGCCAATGTGAAGCTCTATTTCAGGTTTTTGGAAAGGTGAGAGAAGGACGGGGTGGCAGCTCAGAGGGCACACAAGAGACTCTTGTGAGCGCCACAGGAAGGTGGACGGAGGAGGGGCGCAGAGCGGGCCGAGGGGGAGGGCGGCGGCCGGGGACGGGGCGGTGGCCATAAATGGCCGAGAAGCAGGACATCTGGAGCCAGGGGACCGCAAGTTGAGGGTGTCTGAGCCTCATGGTCTGTACTTTCATTTTTTTTTTTTTTTTTTTAATATTTACTGGGGGCCCTCCCTGGTGGCGCAGCGGGTCAAAGCACAGCACTGAGAAGCTAAAGCCACTTCCGCATGAGTTCGATTCCCGCCTCTCCCGGAGGTGACCACATGGCGCGGCAGACCTCTCCTGACCCGCCCGCTGCTCCCCTCCGCAGTGGACTTCTTGATCTGCCTGTTCTGCTCCCCACTTTGTCCCTGGTGAATCCTCTCACCCTCCACATCTCTGGCCTGTACCCCAGTTCTGTATGAATAAATAAATAAATCTTTAAAAAAAATGTACTGGGGTACAGGCCAGTGGTGCGAGGGCGGAAGGAGAGAATTCCCCAGAGACAGAGTGGGGAGCAGAGTGGGCGGATCCACCCACACACAGTGCTGAGGGAGCAGCGGGGAGACAGGAGGGGTCTGCGGTGCCCTGTGGGTCCCGCCCTGGCCGGGGAGCGACCTCGAGGTGGCTGTGCCCAGCTTCACAGTGCTGCGCTTTAACCCGCCGCGCCAGCAGGGAGGCCCCGGCCTGCATCTTCTCACATCAACGCTTAGACCACTTGGCCATCCCAAGGGCCTTATAGCCTGTATTTTCTCAGTGCGACTGGAAGGACATTAGCTAAGACCAGGAGGGGGACTGAGAAGGGGCTTCAGGAGTCTGGGGAGCCTTGGGCAATCACCAAATACCCCACAGAGAGCGCTGACCAGGCTGGAGGGCCTGGCGGGGCTGCAGGCCTGGCGTGGAAGGTGCCAACCCCGTGGCTGCTTTCTCAGGCGTCCGCACAGGGAGCAGGACAGCGCCTTGGACGGGTCAGCGCTCAGGACCACGGGAGTGGAAAGTGAGGGAGGCGGACGAGAGCGGGGAGGGGCAGGGAGACACCAGGCAAAGAAGCGGTAGCGGGGGAAATGCCCCCAGAGGCCGCGGGAGGAAGAGGGGTGGGCGGGGGCCCAGGTCAGAGGGCAAGCTATGAGGCGCACGCCCGCCGTGAGAAGCCAGACGTCCACAGGGAGGGACAAGGAGTTGCACGCCGCGGCCTGCCCACGGGGAACCGGCGCGAACAGGCGGCTGCTACATGGCCACCCAGGCCCAGCTCTTCCTCCTCTTGGGCACTCAGGGAGGAAGTCAGGCGACCTGGGGCTCGGCTCTGGCCAGTGGACTCGGCACCCTAAAAACACCTCTCACAGAATCCCTCTCACTGTGCAATCCCTGTGTCTGCAGAGGGTCCGGGGGGGGGGGAAGCCCCCACCCGGGAGCCACCAGAGGAAACAGTGTGGGCGCCGAGTACCGCCAGGGGCGTGCAGGGAACAGCGTCCCCAGGCTGCCCAGCGGGGTCCACGGCCGAGGCAAGAAACAGTCCTCTCCTGGGGACCTGGGGACCCGGGGACCGCTTGTCACGGCAGCTGGCCTGCACTGACAGAAAGGAGTGCTGAGCGCAGACACACCGGGTTGTAACTGGGCTGAAGCCAGCTGGCATGAGCCCTGCCGCCTGGCTCCAAGGCAGGAGAGGCTGGCGGGGCAGCAGAGCCCTGGTTAAGTGCTCGCAGGTGGGGAGGGGGCAGGGAGAGGGCACCCCGCAGGGGCTCCCCAGGGGAGGGAGGGGCCTCATGAGTGGGAGCGGCAGAGGAGACACCTGTTGCGGGAAAAGCCTACCCTGGCCAATCCTCTTCGCTCCCGGGTCAAGTACACATTCAGTATCGCTCTTGAATCTTCCCTCAAAGCACTTTCCTCTCCGCTCTCTGTCCTTTTCCCGGTTTGAATTTATCTCTACGTGACTTTACTGAACATAAAATTTACACACATATTCAAACACATAATATATGTCCCCAACATGTCGTAATTATTTTACTACAATTTTACACTTTTATCTTTATTAAGGGTTTTGATGTTGTAAATCTGTCTTGCCGACTGGCCCACGAGACGGGGTCACTGCTGTCCTGGGCCAGGCACACAGCAGGTGCAGTGCACCGCTGCTGGGTGAGAGAAAACGCCACAGAGGGAAGAATGGTGACTTCCTACTAAATGAGCTTCCATGGCAATGCAAGGAAAAACATTCATAATTTTCTTTTCGAATTATAAAAGTTACTGGGGGACAGAACAGATGACAAAGAAAAATCTAGAATCTCCTTCTCCTGAGAGTCTTAGGAGGAGAAAAAAAAAAAAATGAGATAGCTGCCTTCCTGGAGTCGAAGAAGGATGAAGAGAAATCGTTGAATAACACTGTATGGTTCCTTCCAGCTTGAAGAGTCGATTTGCCTATTGATTTGGGGTGACTCCTTCCCTATCTCTTCTAAGTGAACAGTAGACTAAATTGAATCTCTTGGCTCCAGGCTTAAAAGAGGCTATAAATTTCTGTGGACCTTAGCAGAGATGACGTGACCATAGACCAGACTGGGGAGCTGGAAAGAACAGGGTGCGGCTTCTTGCTCACAGCCCTCCAATCTCCTTCCCCCCAAACAACAAGCTTGCAGACCCAGGAGCCACGCTGGGGGGGCGGGTGGGGTGTGGACACTCCCTCATTACCAGCAGAGCGTTTTCCAGGCTAAGTTCTCCAAGAGGCAGTTACGCTCCATCAATCCCCAGGGAATGAGCCCTTCATAATTGATAGCTGTGACTTTGATTTCAAACACTGCGCCGATCAGATTGAGGGCTTTTGTGCCTTTGTCAAAATGAGCACTGTTGCAAAGTTCTGAGAAACCGATAATGCTTTACCCACCTCTCCCCCTCCAAGAAAAAAAAGAGGACAAAGAGAAAGAGCCCAATCTGGGGCTGGCGGGAGGCCCCTGGTGTGGGAGGAGCCTCGGCTCTGCCTACCCAGGGTTCCCACCTGTCCTGTAATTCACACCTGCCAGCAACCAGGGCGTGAGGAAGGGGTGGATAACGTGGGTGTGGTGGGAGAGCTCTATTTTGCTGTCAAAACCCACCGCACGCAATAGGAAACTCTGGTAAGAAAGCCTGTGAGGCCACTGTTCTCAGCAGGTGCAGGAAGAAGAGGGGCGCAGTTTAGTCAGTTCAGGGCACGAAGTGGGTAAGTGGGGTCCCAGGCTGCTGGTGGGCTCACCACCCCGGCACAAACACTGCTTTCCTCAGCTCTTTGCTGCCGGCTGCCCCACGGGTGCCATTGCACGTGATGGACAGACACGACACAGATCCTGCACCAAAGGGCCCAGCGGGGAGCTTCTGGCATGGGAAGTCCCCCAGGGCGACACACAGCAACCCAAGCTGATGCCAGACGGGCGAAAACCAACTGCAGAAGGGAAACAGGAGGGGCCCAAGGCTCAGCCCGCAGGCGTCCTCGGGGTGCCACGTCTGAAATGGCCCGGTGGTGTGGCTCCGGTGGGGAGCCGGGGAGCATGGGGGGGGCCTCTGCAGAGCGGCTCGGGGCGGGCGCTGCAGAGAGTGAGCTGGGGAGGCGGCCGGGGGCCGATGGGGAAGGCAGCTGAAGGAAGCCGGGGTTCGCACGTGACCACGGAAGCAGCCGAACGACTGAGGGGCGGCGTGTCTGTGAGGGTGGGACCGTGTTTATCCTGCCCGTCACCGTTTCCCGCGCAGCAGCGACTGCATGAACGCCCAGAGCTCTGTCTGCGTGGTTGGCCAGGAGCTCCTTGGGTTCTTTTGCGGTCGGTGTTGCTGGGAGCACGGTGGGGATGAGGTGGGATGTGAAGGCAGGGCCAGGCGGCAGGCAGGGCCGGGAGGTGCCGGGATGGAGAGGGGGCAGCTTGGAGCCGCAGTCCTGGGGCGGCGGTGCCTGGCAAGGAGAAAAGCCCCCACCACCAGTGCTGCAGCTACACGGGCCAAGCTCGTCTCCACACGGTTCCCAAGAGAAGCTCTTCCATCTGCCCCTCGAGGAGAGAGGAGCAGCTCAGTTGCCAGCCGCCCGTCGCCCCCACCAACGCTCCATGTCGAGTTTCCTCTTTGCATCCCGACGCTCTCTGCTGCCTGCCACGGTTTGCTTAGAGTTCACGGAAAGAAAAATCCATTTGAACATTACCCTCAGCAAAACCCAGTGGAGAGAGTTCAATAAATTCTCTCTGTGTGAAGGATGACTGGGAAGGGGTATTTTATTTAGCCAAATACTGTAGTTAAATGAAAATTGCTAATATAGATCATCCACAAATTGCCAATTTTGAAAGAATTAGGGCTTAATAAAGTGCACATAATCCCAGAGCCCTATTAAAGGTTTTTTTCATCATGGGTGTGTGACTCAGAATCTTAAAATCAACAGCCGTCAGCGCACGAACTTATGAAGACTCAGTTTTCGAGTTTTACGACTCTTCTATAGATAGCCTATTTCCAAGAGGTTATCAAAAGCACTTAACGTCAGCCGAAGCCAAAGAGCTTTCCTCTGCAGACAACACATCACTCCTTCATGCTCTCCGCAAGTGTTTTTGATGCTCCCCGCATCAGCCGCCGAGGGACGAATGCTCATCACGCGCTGCCCCCGAGGAGTCCAGAGAGGGTCACGGCCCGTGCGGGCAGTAAGTGTGACCCAGCTTTTAACTGCCACGACAGAAGGAAAAGGCAGAGGAAGTAAGCGTCCTGTCAGTGCGGGGGCGGGAGACCAGCGG